CTACCCTCTTAACACCAAAGACGGCATAATGCTGGGTACCTACCCAGCACCTGCATTAGTGCGCTTTTCAAGGAGTAAATACAATTTGGCATAGAGGCTTCAAACAGAAGAAAGGTGAGTGTTTTCATCCCACACCTGTGTTTTGAAACTATTAGGTCTGGAAGTATCCATGGTGAAAATTCAGGCACTGTGAAAATAAATTTATTTATTCAATTTTTAACAATACATTAAAAAAAAAAAAACTCCCTCACTATGACAGCCATTTTGTTAGTTCTTAGGATACAGAGAACAGGTTTGGTCCAACACCTGAATTATAGCATGGTTTAGAGTCTAAAAGGGAGGAATTTACGTATTTATTTCTGAGTCTGGAATAGGAAGTTCCACTCAGTTGCAAGGAACTGGAGCATGTTTCCATGATGACATCAATTTTAAATGTTATTTGAAAAGAAGCAAATGCTTACTGGGCAGAGGGGAAGGTGCTGGTAAGACTGTGTCATGTAAAAGAAATGGTGATAAAATGTTAAACAGCTGACTGAAGGTGACCTATTCTATGAACTGAAAGAAATAAAATGTTCCTGTGTAGCCAAGAAGTATGGCAGGAACTGAAAGGAGAGGGGACAAGAGATATTGTTAATCTGTGGGCTTTATCATAAGAGCAATTTTGGAGTATTTCTCTGGATGTTCCAGAAATTGGACCATCATCTGGTTTTGGTCAAATGTATCTTAGATCTAGAAATAAGTAGCTCATTCCATTTCTAAGAATTCAAATGTTGGAATAATTTCTTTATATTACATAAAGGATGTGTCCTTAAATCTTTCAAACAGCATACAAATAATATTTTCTTTCCTTTGTTTATATTAGGATATTTGAAAATTTCTACTAATTATCCCCTTGCCTTCAAACATTTTCTAAGCTCTTAATAGCTATATTTTTTTTTGTGGCTTCCATCTTATTGATGTACCTCCTTAAAAAGGACATCCATAACTAAACCAGAAACCCCATATGACATGAACAGCATAGACCAGTGATTCCTAACCCCCAAAACACATGGAAAATGGTGTTGTTAATGTGGTATACCGTAATAAGTGGAGGTAACATTTTTATTTCTTTCATATCCTTACAAAGTTAAAACACAATAAAGGTATTTTACTTGCCCAAGGGTATAAATTAATATATGATGGAGTCATAATATTAACACAGGAACATTGACATTAAGAAGTACCAAGTCTGTTTCTCTCAAGTACTAGTACTGAGACTACAAACCAGCTAATTGTGAGCTGCTCTAGCAAATCTGCTGATTTGCGTAATAGTTGTGTAGCTATTGCTTAATTTTAGTAAAGTATCTGATAATTTCACCAAAAAAATTGAAAAATCTGACAATAATAACTTCTCTGTTCACCTGTGTCAGGAGTCATTTTGATGTTATTAAAGATTGATAAACTTAGGCAGGGCTTGCTCTCTTCAACCTTTCGCTCAGCTAGTTTTACTCTTCTATTAACTTCTCTAAATAATTAAATTTTCTGAAAACATTTAAGTTGGCTAAACATTTTTATATAAAATACATTTATAGTTCCAAAGAATCAAGTAAGGGTTAATATAGTGATTTAAGATGCTAGAGCTGAAGAAATTATGGTTTCAAGGCTAATAATGAATTTTTAAAAATACATTTATTGAAAATAAAGCTTAATAAATATTAAATTGAAGCAAATTTTACTTAACTGACCCAGGTCAAACAATCATATAAACACTAAGGGGATATCTAAACTGGAAATCATAGGTATAGAGCACCCCCATGTAAATAAAAAGAAAAGTGAAATCCCTCCAGCAACCATGTTTCTTTGTTGTTGTTTTGTTTTGTTTTCTTTTCTTTTCTTTCCCTTCAGAAGCTGAACAGAGGACATGACGACAAAAAATCATTCCACAGTGACTGAGTTCATCCTGGCTGGACTCTCACAGCAGCCAGAGCTCCAGCTTCCCTTCTTCCTCCTCTTCCTAGGGATCTATGTGCTCACAGTGGTGGGGAACCTGGGCATGATCACACTGATTGGGCTCAGTTCTCACCTGCACACCCCCATGTACTACTTTGTCAGCAGTCTGTCCTTGATTGACTTGTGTCATTCCACTGTGATCACCCCCAAAATGCTGGTGAACTTTGTGTCCGATAAGAGTACCATTTCCTACCCTGGATGCATGACTCAACTCTACTTCTTTCTCATTTTTGCCATATCAGAGTGTCACATGTTGGCTGCAATGGCCTATGACCGCTATGTGGCCATCTGTAGCCCACTGCTTTACCATGTCATCATGTCCTCCCAGACCTGTCTTTCCCTGATTTTAGGAGTGTTTATTATGGGTGTGGTTTGTGCATCAGCTCATACAGGCTGCATGATTAGAGTCCAATTCTGCAAATTTGATGTGATCAACCATTATTTCTGTGATCTTCTTCCCCTCCTAAAGCTCTCTTGCTCGAGTACCTATGTCAATGAAGTGCTTATTCTGTTTTTTGGCACATTTAACATCTTTGTCCCCACCCTGACCATCCTTAGCTCCTACAGCTTCATCATAGCCAGCATCCTGCGCATTCACTCCTCTGAGGGCAGAGCCAAAGCCTTCAGCACTTGCAGCTCCCACATCTCAGCTGTTGCTCTCTTCTTTGGATCTGCTGCATTCATGTACCTGCAGCCATCAGCAGTCAGCTCCATGGACCAAGGAAAAGTGTCCTCTGTGTTTTATACCATTATTGTGCCCATGCTGAACCCTCTGATCTACAGCCTGAGGAATAAAGATGTTAGTGTTGCCCTGAAGAAAATGCTACACCGAGAAACTTTCCTGTGAACAGAAGTAATGTGTGGGATTATTTATGAGATCTAATTCATTGATGACCACATGGTGTGAAGTAATGTTTAGTCCATTTGTGACTATCCTTAAATATTTCTAGGATTTTTTATGTTACTTATTCTTTTTATGGTCCTTTGAGTGCCATTTTCTAGGTAGAGTTTTATCTCATATGTATCAAAGAGACAAAGATTAGTAGAAATGCTAAGGGTGGTGTTTATCCATATACCCATTAGTACCAACCCCATCATCTTCTATATCTTTTATATAATTGACCAAAACTCAGTTTATGAAATGTCCATTTTCCAAATGTGATTATCAACTTTCTTTCTTCCATATATATGAAACTGAATAAAACTTAAAAATATCATGGCTATAATTCCCTGTTATGGAGACATTGTAGCCTGAAAAAAATCCCTTTCCTGTCCTTTTCTTTCATATACCTCATTTATTTTGTTTATTCTGTATTACTTCAGAAATTTGAATAGTACTTTAAAATCTAAGCTACAAATGGATATATGTGTTCAACTTGTGCCCAACCCAATATATACACTCTTTCCCCTTTTATTCTAATTTGTTCTTGCCTGCTTATATTTTAAACTGACCAGACTGAGATCTCCATGCAATTACCTCTGTTCATACTGCGTATCTCCAGGATGTAGAAGAGCCACTACCACCCATTAGTTCCTTGATAATTTTATCCTTTTTTCTGTTTTGAAATATTTCTAGGAAAACCATATGTGTCTTATACCATCTACATCCATTAATATATCATTAATCTCTTTAAGAAATTACATATGGCTTTTGTTTAAAATAAAACTAAATATTATCTAATACATGTTTTGTGTTCAAAATCATTATGTTTCATTTTGGAAAATTCTTCAAAGATATATGAGATAATGATGACATTCTAACCTATCATACACTTTATAAGTCTTAGTCTTGAGTTTCTTCTGTGGCAGGATTTTAGTACAGGTGTGACCACTGGTCGATTAACTGATTTCTTCATTCATTTAATCTTGTCAACAAAGATGGAGTCCCTAAAGCAATACATATTTTTTTCTTTTTTAAAAAAAAGTTTTGCTAATTTTTATAAATCAAATATATTTGTTTTATACTTTTAAACATATAAAAATGAGAGTATGGTACAGTGAATATCCATATACACACCAGTTAGATAAACACTTTGCTGTATATGCTTCATATACAAATACACTTGGAGAAACCATTTACAAATATTTTAGAACCACTATAACATTCTGTTCCTGAATGCTTCATGAACTAATTAAAAGACATTGTTCTATAAACAAGTTTTATCCTAATTCACAAAATCCAGAATGATCTAATATTTAAAATACAATCCATATTCAAATTTTTTTCATTGCCCCCAACTCAAGGTTTTTATAAAGGGTTTTCAAACCAGAGTGCATTCAAGCCTTTTACACTGGGGACTGAAGACAGCTCAGAGGTAGTGCTGGTGCTTAGCTTGCACAAGGTTTTAATCCCCAATACTATAAAAGATCTCATATTATGTTAATCTGCTATGTCTCTTAAGTAACTTTTAATCAAGAATAGTTACCCAACCCAACTCCTTTTTTCTTTCTTGACCCTGATATTTTGAAGAAACAAAGCCAGTTATCTTCCATAACATTTTATATTCTAAACATGTTTGACAGCTTCTTTAGTAATGTCATGGAACTTGTTGCTCCACCTCCCATACTCCCTGCAAATGGGAAATCAGACTGAAAGACTTGATTAGATTTCAGTTAAACGTTCTTGACAATGACACTTCATAGATAGTGCAGTACACTTTATATTGCATCACAAATTAAAAAGCTGCCTGGTTTTCTGATCATTGCTAGTAAGTAATGCTAAGTATCACCAAATCTTGAGGATTTTTTCTTGTTTTTCTTTTTGTAAAAGTACATTTTGTCTGTGTGACCCACCAGCACGTGTTTGGTGAGATGACATTCTGACACCAATATAATTTTAGTGGGGATGTAGATCAAATTTTTATCTGATAGTTTGGGCATCAAAATACCTTTAACTTTTCAACTTTTAACATTTAAATTTTTAAAAACATTCAAAAAACATCAGTTTCCCACAAATCATAAAATTTATACAAAAGTAAAATTCAATTTTATAATGATGGCAGACTTACTCTTTAATTGAAATGTGAGCACCTTGCTTCTTTTTGACTTTGAGACCCCATGTATTAGCCAATATGGTAGCCACTCATTTACCAAGAGAGTAACATAGTTCCCAAAGCACCAGAATCATCAAGAGACATCTGGACATATCGGAGGTGGGGTTGGGGTGGAGAATTATTGATGGGCCTGAAGGAAATGTAGGTAACCAACATGACGTGGTGGTGAAGGTGGTGTGGGCTACTGAATTTTAGGCCTGGCTCTCCTGGTCCCAATCCTGACTCTGGCATTGGTAGTAGTGGAAGGAGGAAATAGTTCCATGGAATTGCTTTTGACTTGATGTTATTTGTTTTATTTCCACCAGGAGATCTAGAGGAGTTTTCACTTTCATCTTTAGAAACTTGACTTTCATTTTCATTCTCCTGAGCTTTCTGTTCTATATTATTAGCTACTTCAGAGGTTGGGGAAAGCAGATCAGATTTTTCTCTATTTCCATATCCAGTGTAAATCACAATACAGTTTTCTCTCTTAAAAATCAACTGAAGCAATGGTAGCTGGATAAATATAGCCATCTTCTGACCAAATAGCAGAACACTTGTCACCAGCTTTCCACTGTTTCAAGGACGTTGAAACAGTCTTCTGGCTTTTATTCTTCTTAAGAGGTTTTCACCTAGATGTGCCCTTTGGTTTATCTGAAGTTTCACAAATGTCACCATTCTTTAGAGCATGCTTGAAGGAAGCCACAGCTTTATCATAAGCTTTTATTCCCAAATGTCAGAATCATTACTCTGGCCTGTGACACTCCGGAACAGCACTGAGTCTTCCTGTTCTGGGACACCGTTGCTACTGCTCATATTTTTTTCTTGATTTTCAAGTACATGACACAGGGAAGTAAAAGAAAAAAATATATATATTTTACACCTGATTGGTCATGCTAGTGAACCTGGTGATAGAATGATAACTGGAATAACCCAGCAATTCTTCATGCCCAGAACAGAACACAATTCTGCCTACACTACCATCAAGAAAATTATTTCATAATTTAATAATCTATAAAATATACAACAACAACATTGCTAAAAGAGAAAGTATGTCATATTATTATATACAGTAACCTATATTACTATAGCCAGAAGATGCTTTGTTCTTTTTTGGGGTGAGGTTAGATATGTTATTTTGCTCATATTAAAGATAATGTAGCCTATTTTATCTACACATGACTATTCTCAGACTCTTGGTCATCCAAACTATGGTTTGTTCACACTTTTAGTTGAAGGGAAGATAGACCATCATTCTAGAGGGCTGGAACTTGTGCAGAAACTCTAAAATTATGTCACATATCAAATTAAGCACACTAAAATGATTGGCAAATGCTCAATTGGTTGTGGATTCTGTATTTGAGCCTAGGTGGACCCTACTATCAACCTATTTCTACCACTTAAAGCTGAGTTAAATGATTTCTTTAACCTATTGGCTTATTTACTATGACTAGTGTATCAGAAGATAATCAGTAAAAAAAAATGTACCAGAATCTGTCTTAAAAACCTGTCTCTCAGGGATATAGGTATTTAAAACTACTTCCTCAGGAAAATCATCTTTGAAAATCAACCTAAATTGCTTTTCCATATAGTCCCTCTACTTTTTTCTAGGAGAAATGGCTACTTCCTTTTAGACCATACTGCTTCTGATTATCATATGATCATTTAAATATTTACTCTTTATATGTTCCTGGCTTCAATGAACTGTAAGTTCCATAGGACAGAGATATTTATTGATGATCATACAAGAATCTCATGGTTTCCCATGTCATATTTTCTGACTGCCTCTCATTTCAGCAGAAGTGAGGCACATTTTTGAGTCCTGTGCAAAGGCCCATCTTGGATTGAGGGTGTTTCACTTGAAATTTGCAACATGAGCTTTTTACTTTCACTCTGGAAACTCCTCTGCACACCAAGTGCTCACTTGGCCTTTCCATAGGTCAGCCCCTGGGTTTCTTGCCCTTGTACTTAGCCTTACCAGTGGGGCAGAACACTGTTTAAACTCTCCATCTTCCTGTCTCTAAGAGAAAATATCTAGGGAAACACGTGTGCACCTACCAGAATGTGCTGGAAAAAATTAAGGCACAATTGCCCAAAGATGTTCTCTGCATCTATTGTGAAGCCAGTGAGAAACAGGACCAAACTAAACATTAAAAATAAATCAAAATTGCAGAGAGTAATAAAGATCTTTCTATAATATCATTTTTAAAATTTTCTCCCTTATTTTTTTCTGGCATGCCTTTATCATTCAAAAGTTCAATTTCCAGATGTATGTATAGTTTCTGCAGGGTTCTATGATGTTGATTTATAATCTTAAACTGTTATGACCTTACAAGATGCAAGGAATTACATGATTTTTTGGTATTTTCTAAGAGTTGCTTTCTGACCTAAAATATGGTCTATTTTGGAGAAAGTTTCAGGATTCACTAAGAAGAAAGTGTATTCAGCTTTTATTGGCTAAAATACTCTGTAAATGTCTCTTGAGTCCATTTGATTTATATTTTTCAGGTTCAAAGAGTCTTGACTTAATTTATGTATAGATGACTTTACCAAATGGTGGGAGAGGTGTGCTAAAAATCAGTATCAGTATTATTGTGCTAGGATCTATTTTAGTCTTCTACTTGAGTCTCTTTTTTGTAATTAGGTGCACCAACGTTAGGGGCATAAATATTTGCTATCATAATATCTTCTTCTTATATCATTCCCTTTACCAGTATGAAGTGACCTCCTTTGTCTCTTCTGACTAATTTTGGCTTGAAGTCTGCATTTTTGGATATGAGAGTACATATTCCTGCTTGTTTGTGGACTCCATTTACATGCTATATCAATTTCCATTCTTTCACTTTCAGTCCATGTCTATCATTACTTGTAAAGCGAGTGTCTTGAAAGCATCATATAGTTAGATATTATTTTCTTGAAAGCATCATATAGTTAGATATTATTTTCTAATTCAGTATTCCAGTCTATATCTTTTGATTGGAGAGTTGAGACCATTTACATTCAATGATATTATAGAAAGATCTTTATTACGCTCTGCTCTTTTGATTTATTTTGAATGTTTATTTTGGTTCTGTTTTTCATTGTCTTCACTACACTTCCACTGACATTTGTGCATTTGTGAGCTCTGGGATTTGCTTTTTATTTTTTTTTTCTATGTGGAGTATTTCTTTGGGCAAGTTCTATTGTATTAGTTTACAAGTCATGAATTCTTTTACTTTCTGCTACTCTTGGAAGGTTTTTATTTTCTCTTTAATTTTGAAGGATAGTTTTGCTAGATATAGCAATCTTGATTGACAGCTATTTTCTTTCAGGACATGGAAAACATCATTCCAAGACACCCTGGCTTTTGGAGTTTGTGTTGCAAAATCAGAAGTAATTATGATTAATTTTCCTCTTTATGTGACCTAATATGCTCTACTCTTAAAGCTTTTAAAATTATATCCTTGTTCTATGTGTTAGGCATTTAGAGGTTTTGTTGTTGTTGTTGTTGTTGTTGTTGTTATTGTTGACCTTGTCTGTTGGGGTTCTGAATGCTTTCTGTATCTGGATGCTCATCTTATTCTGAAGGTTGGGGAAAATTTCTGTTATTTTCTCCCTGAAGAATTTATCCATGCCAATAGTCTGCAACAATTTTTAATTCTAGTGAATCTTGAATTGGGTCACTAAATGTTGTCCCAGAGTTTTTGTATATTCTGATCATAATTACTTATTTTCATTAATAATGTCTGAATGGTCAAGACTGGCAACTTTAAGCTGTGAGTTTGTCTTCAGCCAGGTCTACTCTATTAGAGAGAATTTGAACTGAATATTTTATTTGATTTATTGTGTCTTTTATTTCTAAGATTTCTTTGTTTCTTTTCCAGTCTCTCTCTCTTTATCAAATTTCTCATTCATATCCTATACTGACTTCCTTAATTAATTCAGTGTCTTTTTCTGTACTCTCTTAGAATTCATTGATCATCATTACAATCATTTTTTTAAATTCTTTTTTTATGGGTTGGGGCTGTAGCTCAGTGGCAGAGTGCTTGCTTAGCATGCGTGAGGTACTGTATTCGATCCTCAGTACCACATAAAAAATAAAAAAAAAATAAAAAATAAATAAAATAAAGGCATTCTATCTATCTACAGCTACAAAAAGTTTTTTAAATTCTTTTTATGCCAATCTGTCTGTTGTGTTTCTCCCTCCAAATGATATATACTTTTACATATTTTAGATAAAATTCTTTTTCCATACACATGTATTATCTTAAGCTTGTGTTTCATTTTCTTAATGGCATCTTTAATTTTGCTAAAATGCAATTGAACTATGTTTATGAGGTTTTGTTTATTTATTTTGTGTGTGCATACATAGTCTTTCTACTAAATCTTAAACTACTCCAAGATCTCAAAGATTTGCTTTAGTATCTTTCCGATGTTTACATATCTGATTAGTTTTACATTATATTTTGGTGAAAATGTGTTAGAATATGTTTCTATATTTTATACTTCAATTATAATCAATTTGGAGTGTTAATTGATATGTTATACTTAAATCATCTATTCACAGAAAAGAGTACTGAATTTGTAATTTTGTTTCCTATTATGTGTCTCTTTAAGATATCATTAGCCTTCTTTTCCTTTCCCAAGAATTGAAGTTTTTCTGCTCAATGGATATGGTCCTTGGAGAGCCCCTTGTTGATACTGTTCCACTGGAGATCAGATCTGTGTTCCCTGGAGTCAAATGAATGCTGAGAGAATGGCTGAGGCAAGCATAGCCAGCAAGTTTATTCAAGAAAGTAATAGAGACAGACTTTATGTTCTACTTAAATCATCTATTCAACAGAAAGAGTACTGAATTTGTAATTCTGTTTCCTAATTCAACAGAAAAGAGTACTGAATTTGTAACTCAGCCACTTAAATTAGTTATACTCACTTCTAACTTACAGTAAGTTAGATAAAAGAAAGGCAAAACTAACATAATAAAATTATGGCTCTTTTTTAATTCAAAATAATTCATGATTACTTATTTTTCCATTGGTAGACTATTAATAGGCATTAGCAGAATAATGATTATGCTCACTTTCTTAGTTTTGACAACAATTAGCTTGTAATACTGCTATTTCTTGCACATTTGAAAATCATAACACAAATAGGTCATTTAACCTGCCCAGTGATTTTAGTTAGTAAACGATTCAGTAACAAATAGTAAATGATTCAGCACATTCATCTTGAGGCATGGCCATTTAACCACTCACTGGCCATTCTGCTTCCCTTGAAGAAAAGCAAAGGTACTTAGTGAAAGAATGGCAAAAGAGCTAACTATGAGCCACTCCACCTGGTGATATGCACAGTGGTTTCTATAAATGATGCTTCATCTTAACAATATTTGACAATTTGAAGATTTTATGTACAAATCCTTACTTTTTGACATTAAATGAAGATAGAAATGACTGATAATGATAATATATCTGTTAACTCCTTCTAGAAATTAGTTATAGGATGTTAGAAATCGTTGCCATCCGACAAGGCTGGCTCTGTGGGGGAAAAACATTATCTCCTACCAAAAATGCATGACTCAGCTCTACTTGTTTCTCATTTCTTCTATCTCAGAGTGTCACATGTTGGTTACAATGAATTTCAATTGCTATGTTGCCATCTGCAATCCCTTTCTTTACAGTGTTCTCATGCCCTTATCAGACTGAGACAGGAATAAAAGTCAGGCAGTCAGTGTAGGTAATGAATGTTGGGGGTTGAGAGGATGATGGCTGCTTATCAAAGAGAGAACAAAGCATTGCTAACAAGGAACTTCTGCACTCGTGCTTCTAGTCACATATATG